TGCCTAAGTCTGTATACAGGTTCTGAGTCTGATATAATTCTCGATAACTATATAATCTTTTCTCCTTCTTCTTCTTCTTCTCTTTCTTTTTCTCAGACCCTGCCCCCTCCGCCGATATCTATCACAGGTTGATCAAAGAGAAATGATTGGGGCCCTTGTTCTTTTTTTATTTTTGTTTTATTTATATATATATATATATATATAAAAGGAAAAGAATGAGGCAGTTTATCCTAACGTGGCCTAAGCTAGGCTAGCGTTTAGGATATCTTTTGTTGAGGTTATTTTTAGTACCCTGTATTCAGGTTTACTGTTTTCTTGCTCCCTAAGGGCTCCCAAAGATTCATAGCCACGATGGCTAGAAATAGGTTCGTCATGATAGATCAAATGTCACATCGTCTGTATAACTTCTTGGAATCTAAAGATAAACGAAATAACAGATTGAGATAAAGATGGGGTGCTTAGAATCTGGAGTTGGCGATGAGAATCTCTCAGTAAGTGTAGTGGAACCTCGGGTTGTGCTCTCCAAGCTCCTCAGCTTCCTCCTCGGTCAGTCCCTGAATTCTATGATCCTCCTTGCCCTCTACCTTCCTCTTATTCTGACGACGGAACCAAGCCCAGAAGGCCATGTAGATCAGCGAAGACATGGCGACCAAGGCCATTGAAACTGCGTGACCCTTGACGAATCGGGGACCCTCGTGAGTTTTGTACAACTGAGTAAGTGTTAGCTGAGACTATTTGTAGGTGGCAGCCAGGCTGTACTTACAAATGGAGCTGGGATTCCGGCAGAGTTACCAATGGTAAGCTGCAGACCAGTGGCGACAGTACGCTTTCCATAGCGAGGGTTGTTGCTAGGAAGCCAAGCAAGAGGCAAACCGACGATGACATATAGCCCCATGGCGGCGAGGAAACAACCGAAATAGCGAACTCCGGATGGAGCTGGACTGACGAGAAGAGCGTACCCAATGGCACAAACAAGACCGAGGATGACCGTGAAAACGGCCCGGCGCTGAGTTCGATCAGAGAACCATGCTACGACGAGGTAGGTGATCGCACCCATAGCGTAGCAAGGGACCGTGAGAGCCTGGACCTGAGCCGTATTCCAATCTCCCAGTCCACGGATGATGGTTGGCAAAAAGGTGCTGTATCCGTAAAGAATGGTATCTCCTCCAAACTGACCAATGCAGAAAAGCCAGATCTTCCAATCCTTGAGACCAGCATAAACATCGGCCTTGTGCATCTGATCCGAAGACTTGGTATGTCCGATTTGTCGTCGCATTCGTGCATCGATGAGTTCGCGTTCGTTGATGGTAAGGTAATGAGCTGAATCGGGATCGTCTGCAAGCCAAAACCAAACAGCAATTCCAAGGACAAATGTTGGAATTCCTTCGATAATGATAATCCATCGCCAACCCCTTAGTCCAGCTACACCATCCATATGACCGATGCCGTAAGCGAGAAGGCCGCCGAGGGAACCTGCAATAGCGGCACTGACGAAGAGATAGCCGATTCGAAGGGCGTATTCGCGCTTGGTGTAGAACATGGTGAGATAAATCGTGAGACCGGGAAATAGACCGCCTTCAAGAGCACCAAGAATGACACGGCATGCGATCAGACCCTTGAAATCTTGTACGATACCGGTGAGTGTGGCGACGATGCCCCAGGCCGTGGTGATGAACGCGATCCATCGTGAGGGTCTGAACTTCTTGATGACGAGGTTTGATGGAAGCTCGGAAGCGATGTACGTGACGAATAGAACCGAGACCGCAAGTTGATACTGCATTTGTTAGTATAGACGTCAAGTTCTCATTGATGGATACTCACCTGATCGCCTACTAAGCCAAGATCCTCTTCCAGGCCATAGAGTCGCGCGTTACCGATATTCACACGATCCAGAAAACTGAGAAGGTAGAGCAGCATCACAGGCGGAACAATCCACATGTCAAGCTTTCGCAAAAGCGCCTTCTCAGCAACTGGATCGATGTAGATCTCATCTTGAACAGTGCGCTGCTCCTCAATCTCCTTGTCAGGAAGGCTCTCCGGCTTTGAAGTCATAGTGGCGAATCCTTTAACAGTACAGATGAAGTAGTTGATGAGATGATGATGATGATGATGATGGAGAAATGTTGAGTGACGGGACCCAGTCAATTTAAGAAGGACGAGTCTTATCTCCGCACGGTGGTTTACCCCGGATCTTGGAGAGGGATTTGTATTTGGTAACGAGAACTATCTTGGTGCTGTAACCCCAGAATCATCGTGGCAGGGATTTGGGGCCGGGGATCGCTGGTTGACCTGCCTGTCTTGGTGGAGCTGGGGTCGGGTCGTGAGGGGTTTGCCGATGGGGACATGATTCAGGACCGGCAACTTTAGACTTGCCGGGCTGCTTCTAGAACGCACGCTAGATGCCGTGAGACGTCATTTTTGTTCAGCTCGGCTATTGAGAAATTACCTCGTGCTACCGGTATCAATATTTATCGATCCAGATTTGCTTTCTCTTATCACATGAGTGTGATATTAGTTGGCTGATTGATGAGACTCACGTACGTATTGCAAGCAACGCCTCAGTGTGTTTATCTATTCGGCACTTATCTTTCCCGCTATCTTTGGCGGTCCCACAGTAAATGCATGGAACGATGATGGAACGCTAATGATCGACGTCTAAGCTACGCTATCAGCGGAAGATAAGATATCATGCACTTACATGGCCGTCTTCAAGTTTCTGTTGCATCTAAAAGTATAACGTGCGTTCTCATCCGATACTTAGCAGATTAAACGCTATAAGCATTGATCTCGAAAACATTACTAGTTATAACAAGCTGGGGTTAATAGATACGCTTTCAGTGACGGGTCTTAGTAGCACTCACAAGTAGCTTGATATGCATCGCTAAATGACCAAAACACAAGGAGGTTGTAAAGATTTGTCTCGACACAGAATATCGATCAATATAAATTATCATTCAAAGCTAGACTCTAGGCTGATCACGAGTTACGAGAAAGGCTTTTGATCAAACCATATCATAGTTCAAGATTGCTGAGGCTGTCTTGTCGGGGCTTGAGAGAATGGGCACATAGATTTCAGCTGTCGGTACCTCCTCTACAGTGAGACAACCAAGGAGAATGAAGTATCTCCCTTGTCTCTTCTCGAATTGTAAAGTATGTGCCCAATCATTCCCAAACTTTAACGTTGGATTGCACCACTAGGATCGGCTACGAGGACATGTGGCCCAGGTCACCAAATGCATTGTGTCGCAAGGCAAAACAAATTCAACAATCAGATCCCCTGGTTTTCGAATTGAACTTTGGCTCTAGAAGTATGGACATTGCCGCTGCGCCAGATCAGACGAGGCATCTTCGCGGAAGGCACGAAGATACATTATCACGGGATCCCGTTGTTAGCACGGTACTTCATCAGTACCACAGTTCACAGCTCTTTGAAAGCTTTGAAATGATAAAATACTGAAATTAAAGCCCAATAGATGATGCGCACCGTATGAGCAAAAAATGGGAGCCATCACTGGACATCCCGTCTGCCATACTTCAAGACCACTGAACAGACGCCCTCAGACGTGGTTTTATCCAAGGGACTTGAACCTTCTTAGCATAGCTCTTGGCCTCAGTGGGACTGTGTAAGTATTCTTCATTGGGTTGGAAACTGCTGAGCGTTTACGACTTAAATACCCATTCTGATGTTATGTTGGGCAAGAGCTGGAGGTTATGATGGAATGCTGGCGACTTCCTGTGTTGCGAGGTGGACTGCGGGAAAACTGGATGACCAATGTTGTACCTGACGTGGATGGGATGCAGAGCAACACGAAAGACCCCAGTAGTAAGTCGAGAGACCGATAATATGGGTCAGAGACTTTGTAAGTTGAATGTGGGACGAGAATTGACAGTTAAACCAGCGTGGCAAAGAATTCCTTTACGCTCAGAGCGAATACGCGTTTGGTCAAGGAAACCGAGCAACTCAAAAGCTTGGCTGTGTGATACCATAATTTTGGACTTATCAGAGTTAAAAGTCTAAGTATGATCTGTATGTATCATTTGCCATTGAGCTGAGCGGCTTGCAATGTATGAGTCTAACGTTGGTCATGGCGGGAACCGACCAGACAACTGCACTTTTGCCAGAAACATCAAAGTATAATCTTCAAAGAACAACGTTTAACCTTTATGATTGAGAGTGACTCGGTGATTTTTTATTCACAGTTGAGACTTGTGGCTGAGAGCTTAAATCAGCAGAGAGAACTTAGAATGTGACTCGGAGATTGGGAGAGGTGTATATAAAGCGCTACCTGTCCGCCTCGCACACACAGTCGGTTGTTGCAATCGAACCCTCTTGGCAGCTGGACTGTGTAGTATCAGGAACTGTGATGAGACGTCCAATCAGTGGCAGCGCCTGTCGATCCAGTCTATCTTGGACTTGGAAAGAAATGGATTAGATCTGAGTTCCTAGTTACGCGTCCTCTTCTGAAGCATTATGACTTTTTGACACATCTTGAGAAAACGTCCCAAGCGGCGGTGAGAGCACAATGGCTTCAATCCTAGCTTTTCTTTCGACGGTCGGACTTTGGAACGACATACTAGCAAAGCCTCAACTGACATATGATGGCGGATTCGTACGAGGAAAGCTTCTGGATTCTTTTTGTGAAACGAAAGTTCGAGTTCGCAAATATGCTCTGGTTTCCAGCTGCATCAAAGCCTACATTACGCATTAACCCGCAAGGAAATGAGGGAATCTGCCAGTGCAAGCCTTCGAGGTTCCCGGAACGGCTAACTTTGTCTTGCCATGCTGCAAGCAAATTTCAGAGGATGTCCTCTAGCAAGCTAGCGTCGAACATGGCACCTTCGAGATATCAGAACCACTCCGTTAATCCTGACAATAGGCCGGCACTGACCTATAGAACGGCTACTATAATTAACCTATGGTATAATAGGGGTGAGGATTGTGGACTGCAAAAGCAGTACCTCCTATCGTGTTGACTCTCATATGCCTAAGCCACAACTGATCACGACGCGCCCCCTTTCTCATTATCCCCATTTGCCTCACCCCATGCTTTAGCGACTTTATGCTTCTTTTCGTCAAGCAAAGACTGGTCTCGAGTGACGTGTCTGTCTCCGCCTGGCATTCTGGAGTCCGTAAAATCCCGGATGGCCTGGAATGAACGGCAGACATGGCGTTGATCTGAGTCGATATAATTATGCTCAAGACCCTCCATGAATCTTGTGGGTATCAGAGTTGTACTTCCATAGCATTGAACTGTTTGGCGGAGTATTTCTATGCAATGTTCTTGTACGAAAGTCAGTTGTCAGTAACTAAGGGGTGTGTGTCGCATATCGAGATACGTGCCGTTGTGAAGCGCTCCATGAAGCGTATGAGACTTTTGGGGGTAGTATTCGGGACGCAACGCCTTGCGAAGTTCGTTCTGTTACATCAGCGCTGATTCTGAAGATCAACATGGATCTCAAAGTCTTACAATGCAGTGCAACGTGTGAAACATGTCGAACCTAGCAACCATTCAGTAATCACCTCTTGACATCAAAACTTAGCGATACTCATACCCAGCTGTATATCCCCCCATGTTCTGATCTACAAACTCGTGTCGCCTATCTCCCCAAGCTCTTTTGGCCTCCTCCTCTGAAATTGAGAAGTAGCGTTTACCAATGAGCCTCTGCCAGTTCTCGTCAATCTTGTGGCTTGGTTCGCCGACATATCGCACATTTTCTGGCCATGGTGCCGTTTGATCTGCATCTTTCATCCAGGGTGTGCCATTTTTAAGAAAATGTGGACTGCCACGAAATTGTATTTCCTCCAAGGGAATCTGGATGGGAAAAGCTGATGACACAAAGTCAGTATCTTGACTGAGAAGCTTACGTTGAGGCTGACTGACCGAAATCAGTGTTGAAGTTTGTTTCATACGTTCCAAAACGAGATTGAGCACGTAGTTTGGCAGCGAGAATGACTGTTGAAATCGCAAATACCACCGTGAGTATCCAGGGCAGTATGTAAGTGAAAAAGAATGAGAGGTTCCGTCTTTGGTGTTGCCTTGATCTTGTGCCAAAGATTTCTGAATCTGAAGAACCGTCGTTTAGTGATTCTGTCTCTTTTGTCTCAACAGGAACATATTCCCTGTCTATTGGTCTGGTTGAGTGATGCATCGAAATGATTAATACAAAGAGGTCAACATTAGAATGTTCATGAGAGATCGAACACTGTGTAACGATCATGCGAGGACTAACTCTTCCAACCCTCAGGTGGTGTAATTGACTCGAGGGCAAGACATAACCCCGAACTCTTGGTGCAGCAGGACAAATGCACAAAGCTCCATCCAATTGGTCATCAGCTTAAGGACCCGACTTGCGTGATCGTCCTGCTAGCGTGCAATAAAGCTCTTTGGCCCCCACGACAGGATTATAAAGACCCTCGGTAAGAACGGCATTTAGAAGTATACACAACAGCGGATATTCTGGAGATTTCATAATGGCCTCCGAACAAAAAGTCCCTGCCCCTCCATCCTTCGAAGATCTCACTCCCGATGCGGTACTAGCCGAGACCGAAAACATCCTTAACTCGACCTCAGCTCTGCATGACGATCTCGCCGCTAAATTCACACCCTCAACCGCAACCTTTAACGATATTATCCGCCCCATCGTGGATGACACCAACCGCGCCGCATGCCGCCTGCGCATTCTAACGACGCTACTGGGACAGTTATCACCGGACAGGGAACTTCGTGATGCCGCCCGTCAAGCAGAAACACGTGTCGCGGCAGCTCAGGTCAAGATCCTAATGCGACCTGACATTGCATCCCTAGTGGGAGCGATATACGAAAGAGAAAAGACAGCGCCGGATGGGAACTTAGATGGACAAGATCGGCATTTGGTGACTCGCATGCATGGCGAGTATCTACGTTCTGGGTCGCTTTTACGAGACGACAAAGAGCGGGAAGAGCTCCAAACCGCTCTGGAGGAGATTGATCGGGCGCGATCTGCGGCTCAAGCTGCCTTCACGGAGGACGAGGGCGGTATCTGGTTTGACCGTGCAGATTTGGCGGGCGTTCCAGAGACTATGCTTGCATCCATGCCTCAGCAAGGAACTCGGATACAAGTGACGTTCCGAAATGCTCATGTCGCCGCTGTGATGCGTCACGCAATCGGCAGCGAAACTCGCCGCCGCTTCGCAGTCGCTGACCAGCACCGTCTCCCCGAAAATGTTACCCGCCTAGCTACTCTAGTCGCCTTACGCGACAAGGTTTCTCGTCTTTTGGGGTATGAACACCATGCGGATCTCAAGATCGTGGATAAGATGGCTCCAAGCGTTGACTACGTTAAGGCTCAGCTGGATGATCTGCACAGAAGGCTCAAGCCGCTTGCACAGACTGAGACTGATAGACTGATTCAGCTCAAGCAAAGGGACTGTAAAGAGCCTATAAGTGAACTATACTCCTGGGATAGGGCGTATTATCTCCACAAGCAAACTCAGGAGAGTTTCTTCGTCGACCATGAGCTCCTTGCCGAGTACTTTGAGGCTCATCACACTCTTCAGGGGATGCTTGATGTGTTCCATGAGCTTTTTGGGATCGACTTTAAGCTTATTGAGACCTCGGTATGGCACGAGAGCGTCGTGGTGTATGAAGCGTGGGACTCACCGGGCGAGGGGAGCAGGTTTCTTGGGCATTTATATGTAGACCTCTTTGACAGAGAGCGCAAATATCGCGGGGCGCACCATGTTTTGATTCAGCCGGTATGTTTATTTTCCTTGTCCTTATACATCAAACTGACTGCCAGCTCAGGGTTTCACAGAATCAAGTGGCGAGAAACATTACCCGGCATCGGCACTGGTGTGTAGCTTTGCTCATCCATCACTATCTCGCCCATCTCTGCTCCAACATAGCGAAGTAAAGACCATGTTTCATGAACTTGGACATGCCATTCACAACATCGTTGCCAGAACCAAATATGCCATTCCTCACTCGCGAGACTTTATTGAAATTCCAAGTATAATGCTTGAGAACTGGGTATGGCTCCCTGACGTATTGGTCCGTCTTGGTTGCCATTTCAAGAGCAAACAGGCTCTACCTCTGGAACTAGCAAAAGGCCTTGCACGAGCGAGAAATAAAAATAGAGCTAATAGTATCCTGGCTCAAGTCCAGCCAGCTCTCTTTGACCTGGCGATTCATACGCCTCCAACTCATAAAGCAGCGCTTGAGATGGATACAACTGAGATATGGAACAGAACTAAGAGGGATATCCTCACGCATAGCTTTGGACCGAACCCACAAGATTGGGGAGCTGGACAGGCGCGGTTTGCGCATATGTTTCGTAAGAATGATGGTAGTTACTTTGCTTATCCGTTATCCATGGTCTTTGCCGCAGATCTCTTTAGGTCTAAATTTTCAGGAGATCCCTTGAATCCTGATATGGGAAGAAGATATAGATATCAAGTGCTAGAGCCGGGGTCAAGTCGTCCGGAGATTGAAATTCTGAGAGACTTCTTGGGGAGGGAGCCGAGTAATAAGACTATTTTGGATGAGTTGGATCAGAAGAGTGACGGCTGAGACACAGAAATATACGATTTAGAACAATTTTTTATCCGCTATAACATTCAAAAGTTATATGAACAAAACAGAAATCTGACAAACCGTATTTGGTATATGCATGGTTATAATAAGCTAATCACCCAAGGCATTGGGCTTATATCCTGGTGTCCCCCGCATATCATTTCCTCAGGTCACCTACGCTGGAGGTCCCGACGCAATCATTCTTTCAGAATTCCTTCTAGACTTTCGGCACCAAATCGCACATCATGGCTGACGGGATTTTGCTCGGCGAGCAAGAACCCAAACCCACGACAACATCTCTCAAAGACCATGATAAACTGTCTTCTCTCGTCTCTCAAGCTCGAAGCATTGGCCTTTTTCTTTTACCCAGCTTCATATCCCAAGGCCCAGTCCCGAAAGATTGTCCCCAGGCGCGATCACCCTCCTCCCCAACATTGTATCTGGACGGACTCCGTGGACTCTTCTCCTTTCTCGTCTTTCTTCGCCACTTTCTTCTGCCATGGGAAGAAGGCCTCGACACTGGTTTTGGTCAAAATGGCAACATGTCATTCATCAAACTTCCCATCATTAGACTCATTTATGCTGGACCTACAGTACCCATCTTTTTCATCGTCTCGGGATTTGTACTAGCCTACAAGCCACTGAAACTCATCCACAAGAAAGACTACGACGCTCTTGGGCTGTATACCATGTCTTCAGTACTGCGTCGGCCATTTCGACTGTTTTTACCTCCTTTGGTTTCAACATTCATTGTAGCCATTGCAGTGAGTGCGGGACTCTACACTGCTCCATACCAGGATATGCCGGGTTGGGTGCCCAGACTTCCAGAGCGCCTTGGATCATTGTGGGTGCAGATTGGAGACTGGATACGGTTTGTGGTAGTCGATCTGACCCATCCGTGGAGTTGGAAGTCCCCGATGTCTGAATATGATAGTCATCTATGGACGATTCCAATCCAGTTTCGCGCCTCCATGATTGTCTATCTCACACTTCTCGCCTTAGCAAGAGCCCGTGTCTGGGTTCGAGGGACAACAATCATCTTCTTGTGCCTGTATTCGCTGCAGCAAGGAAGATGGGAGATGTATCTGTTCTTCGCTGGGGTATTTCTCGCCGAGAGGAGCCTCAAGAGTCATGATAGTCCTGAGGCTCAACCCAGTGACGGTGGTGAATCTGCCACGATTCGGAGTTCATTACGTTTCTCACTTTGGCCACAAATTCTCTATAGATGCTCGTTTCTGCTCGGACTATACTTGAGCTCATACCCTCGAGCCAGAAATGCGGGATTCTCTACACCCGGTTACATATTGCTATCATCACTGACAGACCGATACATCTATTGGCAATCCTATGGCGCGACCTTGATCTGCTGGTCTTTGAGTAGGGATCGACTACTCCAAAAACCTTTTACATCACGCCCACTTCGATACTTGGCAAAGATCTCATTTACATTGTATCTAGCCCATGGCCCTGTTTTGCATCTCTTTGGGTATTCTATGGTACCTGCATTCCAGGGTCTAACGGGAAGCTCCACTGAGTGGCAATATCAGTCAGGGCTACTGTTAGCTCTCGCAGTGTTGGCCCCTGTGGTTGTATGGATTGCAGACGTATTTTGGAGAGCGGTGGATAAGCCTTGTTCTGTCTTGGTTGTTCGTACTATAGAGCCTTTCTTTATCGACTAGAAAAGATTTAGGATTTTCGACAGCTTACTTGTCTAGCTTTCTCTTCCCCAAAAAGCAGATTGTGGCACTCACTTCCAAGGGTTGGTCAATGTTGCTACCAAACCTTCCCCGTCAGTTTCGGCTTCTACCAGCCGCTGACATGCAGTTTCGTGGAGCATCACCGTTCTTAGTAGCTATCACAGGAGATACCGTTGCCGCTTGATCCGTAACCTATTGTCAGATAACATAAAAAGGCGCAACGCAGGGTGATCATCACCGGCTTGAGTTACATAATTCAGCCCCCAAGAACTTTTGGAAGCTGTGGGTGAATGGCGATCTTTGATTACCGCTACGGGTATTACCTCGCGCTGATGTTATAGAGGCTTTGGGTTCTTTCGTCCGCTTTAGGCCATTTAAACGTCGCTAGGTGCATGTTTTACATACCCTGTCGACTCTGCCGAACTCTGAGTTTTCATTGCATGGGTGGAGAGTGACACTTGCTGTAATGCTCACACGTCCATTGGCTTACACATAAGGGTTTACCCGACAGTCCGTGAGCACGTAATCCCGGTCAATTCTCACACTATCTTTGATCCGTACCTGTTCAATAGCGGTAACAAAGAATCTCCGACTCAGTGGCCATCACTTCATGAACCCGAACTGGCTCTGACAGATTGCCCAGCGACATAACATCGTCCAAACTGGATCCCGACAGGGACTCGTTGGCATGTACCCTGGTATTTTGTCTAGGACCTTGATAGGTCTTGGTCCTGCTTTCGGTATCCTGCTGCTGCCATAGCCACCATAAACGATCTACCTGGGCGTGATGCAGATAAAACACAGGATCTACAACAAGAGTGTCAGAAGTTACTGCAAAGAAGAGGCAACTGTGATCTTACCATTTGGTGCCGTCAACCCATAAAAGTCCCCTCGCACAAACTGGGGTATCGAGTTGTGAGCTTGGACTTCAAGAGCATCGACAAATTCTTCGTATGATTGGAGGCTCAGCACGCTGATGATAGCGTCGATCGTGACTCGATTTTCCAACTTGGTCTTTTTCTCACCCCCTTGGAATCCCCGGCTGAGACAATGAGGATTCTTCAAGATATCGAATCCATGTCCATTGGATTTCGACTGCCAGTGGCGGGTTGCATTCGCAAAGGGACCTTCTGTAACACAATGGCCCCCAAACATCGCGGGTAAAGAGCTTCGGCTTGTACCATTACCACCGAAACCATCGATAGGATCAAATATCGGAGAGGCGGCAAGGTCATGGGCGTCCAATGCCCAGTCCCAGTACCTATGCCAAAGAAGTTAGTCGATCTTCATGTGCTAGGGTCAAGAGGGACTTTTCAGACTTACGGCAGGGATCCGTGAAAATCACACTCCTCCGTCAATGCCTTTTCGTATGTGTGGATAAAATATCGATGCCAGGGTAGGAATGAAGCTGCGTAATGCGTGACAGTGCCTTCGAAGACATGCATATAGGCAAAGTCATCGTAACGACTACTCCCTGGCTCAAAGTGCGACTTTTTCTCAGTTAGACAGACGACAGCGCTGATGAAGTCTTGCTTCTGTGTCTTGTTCAGTTCTCTCCACTCCATTCGTCTCACCGGGTGTATACAGCTTGTTGGGGCTGTTTTCGATGAGATTCTCCAAGAAATGATGGCGCCCAAGAATAAGACAGCGGCGAGGCAGATGCTGATGAGACACGATTTGTAGCTGTAACCGCTATTCTTTTCGATATCTCTGTACTCATGTCAGCAAGCTGGCTAGAATATCTAAGATGGCCTGTGAAGTTTACTCTGGCTCACGATTTACCAGAGGCTGGTACTTCCACTTTCGAGACGTGACTTGTGAAATCTTTTCGTACAGTGATTCCATGATATTGCAGATGGTCTATAGAGAGAAAATATTCAAGAAGTATCGAAAAGAAAACGAGAGCTCGGAATTGGACTTTATTCCATAAATCTTTGAAGGACTCAGTCCGGCATGGTTTTGATACCTCATGCCATGACACGGGCACTGGATGTGACACTGAATGCCAACTGCGGATTGGGTCAGTCAGCATGGGCTACTTTGTCACATCGGCCGAATCCTAGATATCTCCAACGCTGTTGTCAAATCTCTTTCCTCTTACTGCGGAGATCTACCAGGGTAGACGGGGGTGCGTCAAAACAAGCCAGGGTACCCTCCCCACCTGGACATTAGTGGTGGCTTTGTACTTGACAAAGATTACCCACAGACACTGGATATTTGCACTTGGATCTTCTACACAGTCGGTTCTTGAGATGCTCTACGATCCTCTTTCAGTTCCGTATCTCCCTTCTCCTCACTACCCACAGCATCATGTCCTTCAACAAGGAGATGGAGCAAGACGCCTTGCTATCAGAAGACGCAAATAGGTCTTCATTCTCAGATTCAAATGTTGGGTCACGAACTGAGACGCATCCTTTCATACAACCACCCAGAAAGGCTACTTTTTCGAACTTATTTTCATGGCAAGCTATTCTGATGCACACGGGTATTTTTATTGTTTATACCATATTGATGCTACTCCTCGTAGTTCCTGTCTGGAATTCCCGTGAGAGAGAAGTCGCATACAGTAAGTTATCAAATCCGCTTTTCAGTTTCCTTCTCACACAGTCTTATCAGTCCCGTTTAATCCTGGACCACAGGCCCAGGTCTTCCAGCACAAACACTCGGTCTATGTTGGCAAACCGTCATCTCAGCTAGATGAAGCTTGGAAGGAAATGCTAAAAAGTAAATATCTTTGCTCTCCACTTGATGTTCTCCCAGACTAACGTGTCATGAGACTCTAATATTCGCATTAAAGAAGATGAGATGAATCACATACCTGGTAGAAAGGAGCAGGCCATCGAGCTGCCCGATGGAGGTTATTTTGCGACACTCAACGTTTACCACAATCTTCACTGCATTGTATGTTTATATCTTCAAGTTCTCTCCATGGTTATTGAAAGTTCCTGACACTAATTTACTTACAGAAACGCCTTCATCATTATATGTATCCAGATTACTACTTCCCTAATATCACAGAAGAGCAAAAGAAGGCGAATGAGTACCACAACCGTCAGTTCACTGACTATTTCTTGTCGCATCTTCTCACTAACGAAACATCCAGATCATTGTTTAGATATGCTCCGACAGAGTATCATGTGTCAAGGCGATATGCAGCTTCTGACGATGAAATGGCGGCAGGATGGCCGTATTCCAACCGCAAACTTCACATCGCCTCATCAGTGCGTTAATTGGGGTAGATTGGAGAGCTGGGCTACCAGCCGGAGGATTGTCGATCTAATGGAACCTGGATACTTAAACCATCCGACTTTAGGGCCAGCGTATCCTGATGGTCATGGAGATCTGATTGGAGAGTTTCTAGGACATAGCAACGTCTCGACAAGTGAAGATCAGGTTCAATAACTGAACCATTCCGAATAGCGATATCGTATTATAGTCTAAGTTAAGATGTGCTGTGCTACTCCCGAATCGACACAGGAATCACCTAGATAGCTGTGGTATTGGCTCCTTGTTCTTCTGTTGTCCGGCGGTATCACTGAGCTGCTCAAGCCTAAAAGCAAGCGGTAGATTGACTGATCACAGATTCCACAATGAATATCCTAAATTATCCTAAGAATTTTTAAAAGCGCCTAAATCTGTCTAAATCCCTACCATTGCCCGGTTAAATGCCAAGGGAAGATCGGCCTGCTACATGTAAGCTTACAGGAGTGCTTCTAAAACTCATAGAGTACTGAGATCAACTCCCCGTCCAACTTTTGGGATCGGCAGTTACTGGGTAAAGGGACACGTCAGATGATTGTCTATCATAGATGCCGGATTGCCGAGATATATGCATGGATTGTCCCCAGCAGGTGCATGCACACGCCCAGCATGGATTCAGATCCCGCTCCCAACTTGATGCATCCTCAGGATTTGACATTCAACTACACCACCACGAATTCGTATTCCGTTCCAGAAGATCTACAAAGAAATCTTCCCAGGTGGTAATTCATGAAATCCTTTCGTCGCTACATGGTTAGGACTGTGCATTACGTAACGGGCTCCGTATATGTGCCCCTTTCCGTGGTGAAGCAGCCGGACCTAATCACATAACATGAGAAGCATAAATAGTCTCAATGGGCCTTGAAATCTATGTAACTATTTTCCAAGCTCTGACTCTATTACGACATACAACTCAAATCTCAACATGCGTTTCTTTTCCGTCTTGTCCACCATGACCCTTGTGGCATCAGTCATGGGTGCCGCTATCCCAGTTCCTGTCGAGGAAAGCAACATTGAGGTTAAACGTACTATACCCTGGAGAACTGATTTTTATGATACGCCTAACTAACATTACCTCCAGGTGCCGAGGGACACGAGGATGCTGGCCTACAGAAGCGTATGTGCTTGTGACACTTGAACAAAATGCCGACTAATTTGTTATACAGGCGACGAAGGATACGGCGATGGGTGTGCTCGCAAGAGGAACTGTTAATAGCGTTTCCATATTTCCATTGAGAATCATGTTTCAGAGATCTTCTGATGTACCCACAACGTGGGTTTCTACATGTTCTACCTGAATAGAAATGGCTCTTCAATCTCAGAAGCAAATTCCCTCAACGTTCCATCCTCCGTGAATAAAACATCTAGCCACTGTACTTGATTCCCATCCAAGAAACTGCCGATAAGAGGATTCCCCAAAATGTCGACGTTTTCGTAGCCAATGATTGCCGATTCGTATACTCCAGAGCCATTATCCATACTCATTGGTGTTTGGAAAACTTGGTCTTGAGTTTGCGGGACTTCCTTTGGCACGGAACTGGGGGTTTGTATAATTGGTGGTGGCCTATCAAAGCTCATACCATCTAATCGGCCTGTAGCCCGTAGGTTCAACACTCTAGCCTGAATATCTGACAGTCTCTCGCAAAAGTCGACTGCTGGGATGTTTCCGTCGTTCTTCAGAGATCGTAAGACACTAAGTAAGGTCTCAAGATGATCTGAGTTGACGGCTGTGGGTTTCATGACTGCTGACATGATGAGAATCATGGCTGCTGAGAATATGTGATGTGCATCCCAGTATCCAAAAGTCGCAATGCTACCGTCTAAAAACAAGCCTTCCGCGATACGGCTAGATGCCTGTGCAGCGTTGACACAGCTCTCTGCCAAAGCAAGAGTGATAGATGAGACATTCTGCCGTGGCGATACATCTTCTCTCGCTTTAGTGCCTAGGTGAAACTGTGTCTTGAAGAGATGGAGGAGGACAGGGCGAGTTGTTTGTATAATGCATTGATTGTACGCGAGATGGAGACTTGCGACAGGCCGAGGAGTACCTCGCTCCTTGACACGCATATCAGGTTGTAGCTCGTCGTGCCATTCTCGAAGCTGTTTCAAGATACCGTGGACTTGATGTATATAGAGACCATTCGTAGCTTTGGGTATGCCATAGATATGTGTCACTTGCCAATATTAGCAACACAACAGAAAGTAGAGGCAGAAGATAAATAACTTACAGATATTTCCAATGATTCTAGCAAGCTTAATATTCGTTATGAGATTCTGCGGATCAAGAAACTCCGCCATCTCGTCCTTTGTCAGACCATCCATACTTGGCATCTCGACATCTATATCATCGTCTCGGACAGTGATGGGTTGGCCAAGCTTTGATGCTGAGAAGCGGTCGAAGAAGTAAAGCACCCACCATGTTCGCCGTCGACTTTCTCTCTCTACAGGAGTAAGCGTGGTATGTCGAGATGCAGACCTGTGCATGCCTAGACTTTGGGCGAGACGCATGGCTATCCCACTATAGCAGTATGCTGTTCGTATACGACCTAGTATGTTTGAGGCCCAGGCCTGGTGGAAGTCCATCGTCAGTTGGTGTCGGTAGAGGAGGGTCAAAGCTTGAGCTTACCAACAGTGTGAGTACTTCAACCTGCATCAAAGATGGTTCCTCATACAGATCCTGATTCTCTTGCAACAGGTTCACAGACCTAACATAGTAGTTCGTTCCCGGCACTCTGTTGTTATCGCCGACCCCTCTTCTATGTGTATATATCTCCCCCAAAGCCATGAGTGCATAGAACTTGCACAGCCACAGCGCTGACGGCACTACTTCCCTTCGATAAACAGCATCAATCTCCTTCATGAAGGTAACCTTCAGAAACAAGGGATGGTAGTTCCCTATGAATCGTCTAGCAACGTTTAGAAGTAACTTGACGTGCATTCGTTCTGGAAATTCCGGGCCTTGATCTGCCGGCAGTCTCCCATATGTGTTCATTCGATGATAGTTTGACAGGCCAGCTGTCGATGGGGTATAGGTATCGTCGAGGCATGATAAAAGTCTGTTGCTGAACGCAGCACATGAAGCTTCGCCGATAAAGCCTGGTTCTGAGGATCGTTCATGGATGGGCTTTTCGGGTTGTCTATCGAAGAGTGGGTTGAAGAGATTGCTTTCTTCTTTTGATAGAGATGGAGGGGCATCGATTTGTGTCTCTTGATCATCGAATGGAGTGAATGTCGGGTTGGTCTCAGGAGTTTGGTTGTGAGTAGTGATAGCTTGAAGCTGTCTGCTATCTTCTTCGAGCTTCTTGAGGTAACTGAACATGATGTTAGTATGCTATGATGACTTGAAGATGATTGAAGAACATGTCAGAATGGCTTGAGAACATTTGAAAAGTATTTACCTCTCAGCGATTGGTATCTTCCGTTCCTTGTTCGCAGGGAACTCACATTCATCCGCCCTGCCCGTCGACTTACAAGACTGACAAGGCTTATCACCCGAACACTTGATCTTCTGCGAATGACATCGATGGCAGCTACTTCACAATCAGATCAATCATCACAAGACAACTCGTCAAGGGCATCTCACGCAGCAAGCAGTCTTCTCGGGCGTCGTGTGCTCATCCTTGTAAATCGTTGAGTAATGGAATGATCTCAAACTCTGCGGGTCCGAGTCTGGGGTAGTCGCTTGTATTTGCCGTTGGTGATACCGATGATGGATGGTGGAGATGGGTCGGTAAGTCCAAAGTTGCCGGCCAGATTGATCGGCTTTGTTGGAGTTGCCGATGAATAAGCAGATTCTGACCAATACCGTCGATGAAGGCGTTGATAGCGAATCCACTCCACTTACACATTGAGGGCGTGGGAGAGATGTACCCCAGATTGTTTAATATAATACAGCTTCAAGTCGTCCAAGCTTAACCATGTCATCAAATCATCCTCATCTCAATCTCTCTCTCATCACTCACACTCTATATCCTCCCTAGACATCATCCTCATTATCACAATGTCATCTCAAGGCATCCGCATCGCCATCGACCGTGGTGGCACCTTCACAGACGCTTGGGCCGAAGTCCCCGGTCAACAAGAGCACATCGTCTTCAAGATCCTCTCAGTATGTCCTGACGAGTACGACGATGCTCCCACAGAATGCATTCGCCAGATCTTAGAGATCGCCCTAGACACAATAATACCCAAGGGCTCATTACTAGACCTTGCGCCGATTGAGTCCATTCGCATGGGAACCACAGTGGCTACCAATGCCCTCCTCGAACGAAAGGGTGATCGCGTAGCGTTCCTTGCAACAAAGGGATTCCGAGATGTTCTTCTCATCGGAAACCAGGCGAGACCTGATCTTTTTGATCTTTCGGTCCGTCGCTTGAAGCAACTTTACGAAACTGTCGTGGAGATTGATGAACGAATCACTATTGAAGGCGCGAGCGAAGCTCCTTCAGATGGTCCAATCGACGTCTCCTCAGATCCAGCACTGGTCGTTGGTCAGACTGGAGAAGTTGTCAGGATCATGAAGAAACCAGATCTTGATGCCGTGCGCGCGGATCTTGAAGAACTTAAAGCCCAAGGCTTCAAGAACCTTGCAATCGGTCTTATGCACTCATACACATACCCCGACCACGAACTACAAGTAACAAAACTCGCTGAAGAAATGGGCTTCAAAGTCTCCGCTTCTTCGGTCCTGCAGTCCATGGCCAAGTACGTGCCGCGCAGTCAATCGGCCGTCGCAGACGCATACCTTACCCCAATGACGTTCGCCTACCTGGATGGCTTCCGCAAGAACTTCAAGGGTCAGTTGGAAGACGAGAGTGCAAACAAGCTCCTCATCTGTCAATCTGACGGCGGCTTGACCAGCTGGTCTAAGTTCACTGGCTTGAGGGGTGTCCTCAGTGGTCCTGCTGGAGGTGTCGTCGGTCTATCGAGGACATGCTACGACGATGCTGATGGAACGCCTGTGTTGGGCTTTGATATGGGCGGTACCAGCACAGATGTCGCGAGATACTCGGGTGCTTTGGAGCATATCTTTGAGAACACTCTGGCCGAAGTGACCATCCAGACTCCACAATTAGACATCAACACCGTCGCTGCAGGTGGTGGCTCGATCCTGTCCTGGGAGAACGGACTGCTCAAGGTCGGTCCCAGCAGTGCTGGCGCCAACCCTGGTCCTGCATGTTACGGCAGAGGCGGTCCTTTGACTGTGACGGACGCCAATTTCCTTCTTGGTCGAATTATTCCCGACTTTTTCCCTCGCCGACTTGACCGCGATGTTGTCAGAGACAAGTTCGCTGCTCTTACAGAGATCGTCAACAAGGAGAAGGAGGGCGGCGAGCCATTCACACCTGAAACTCTAGCACTGGGTTTTCTTGCCATTGCAAATGCGACAATGACTCGACCTATTCGAACACTCAGCGAAGGTCGTGGATACGGAGCTTCGAGCCACAATCTGGGTTCTTTCGGCGGTGCAGGCGGCCAACACGCTGTCTTCATCGCTCGAGATCTCGGTATCAAGCGCGCCATCATCCCATGCTACTCCAGTATCCTGTCCGCCTATGGTATGGCTCTCGCCGATGTCGTTGTCGAGAACCAAGAACCTTCCGCCATCACCTTCTCCAAAGAAGTCGTCCCTGAGATCAAAGCTCGTCTTGAGTCCCTCTCTTTCAAGGGTGCCCAGGGTCTTGAGTCTCAAGGCTTTGATGCTAAGACTACTGAGCATGAGTACTTCCTCAACATGCGCTACCAGGGAAGCGATACCTCTCTTATGATCCCTGTATCAGAGAATGTAGGAGATGCAGGCGTTGCTTTTACTTCTAGACATACTCAAGAGTTCGGCTTCTCTCAGTCGCGCAACATTCTGATCGATGATGTTCGAGTTCGAAGTATCGGCAAGTCTCGCGTTCTCAACATCTCGAGCCCCTTTGAAGAGCTCAAGAAATACCAGTCCGATGGTCTGACTCCCGTCCCTACGCCAATCTTCTCCCGTAAGATCTTCTTTGAGAATCACGGCTGGACTGAAACTCCCGTTTATGAGCTCAAGTCCATGTCTCCTGGTGTTCACATCACCGGTCCTGCGATGATCATCGACAAGACCCAAACAATCGTGGTAGATCATCTCAGCAAGGGTGTCATTCTTCCTGAGCATGTTATCCTTGAGGTTGACAAGGCTGAGAAGCAGAATGTTGCGACCGAGACTGTTGATCCAGTTACACTCAGTGTTTTCGGACATCGCTTCA